GAACAGAGGGATATGTTTTATATATTCAACTGATGAATGAATTTCTTAGAATGTGATTTTATACAAAAACAACAAGAGTAATAAAATGACAGTTGAGGTCTAGGAAGGGTAGAATATACGTAGATATTACACCTACCTCATGGAGTTAGAATGTGATTTTATAGTATAATTAAAATTGAATTATAATAGAAACTTTAGATATCAAGAGTTGTGGAATGAAAAAAGAGGGAAGATGGAATATAAGTATTTTATACAAGAGCATTCACACCAATACAAAAATATAAAGTAAAAACTTGGTCAGTTGTGCATTCATCATAAAGACTTAGTTAAGACCATACCTCCAAATGCCACATTAGTAGTAGGAAACGTCAAAAGTGGAGGAAGCTTCAAAATCAAAATCACATCCAAAAAAGAAACATAAAAAAATATGAGATGGAAATAAAAATTGTCTATGTAATCAACTTTCGAAAGAGCCATAACGGACAAATCTAATATGCAATTGAATAGGAGGAAGTGGAAAACAAAAAAATAAAAGAGTAGAACAACTTAAAGGACTAATGGACCTAACCCAATAACAGATTGAAGATATCATCTTGGTCCCTTCACACATTACTGAATGAAAGGGAAACCTAAAGAGATAGTGCAATAAGAAGTTCCAATCACAAAGTAATGGCAAAACAAAGGTTGAAAATAGGAAATCACTAAATGAATTGATCAATTTATCATGCCTACGTTGGTTCGATGAATTGCAATATGCATTCACTAGTCCATGAGTTATCCTAGACATCACTTCAAATACAAGATAATGGTGAAAGTCATCTCATATAAAATAAAAGTACAATTTGTTTGAATTCCCTCCCAAATAATAGCACAGTAATAGTTTGAGTCTATGAGATGTGAGTAAAATTATATCAGTGTTAGTTGACTTTGTAAAAATCCCACATCTATTCCATCGTTAATGATATTCTTGGAGGTCATCTTTACCGTCACTATCAAGTCTCAAATTGAAAGCACATGTAATGAACATAATGAAACTTATAAATTGTCAAATTTCAAAGCAAAATAACTTTAAGCCATAAGCCACCAAAATTGCTGTTAGAACATTATTCATTTCAAGCCAAAAGCAGTAGCAGATGTAGTTAATACACTATAGCTTCCACAACTACTATTCTAGCTTATTTCTTGACAAGGATGTGAAAAGTTATTCTCTATCAAAAAAAGTGCTCACAGTATCATTTTTTTTCTATTTTATTTTCTTGTGGTTGACTCGACAAATAACACATTTAATTGACTTGTTGAAGTTAGAGATTCTTTAGTTCTCATACAATTATTCGTTTGAAGATAGTTCACGGTTTAATTTGTCAAGATATAATTATATTAAATGAATTAATAGAATTTTTCTTACATAATATAATGGAGCGTGTTGTGAATCCAGGACCGTTTGATCGTACACTTCTTCTCTCTCAGCATGAGCATAAATTAGAATTGTTATGGAAAGATGAGATATCATGTAGTAGCCTTATGAGGACGGTGTGCATGAATGATGCTTGGAATTTATTTCGTTTGCATCGACCTCATGGACGTGTTGAGGAGATCTTACGTAGGTCAGGACTGTATGATGTAGTTTGTGTGGGTAGGATGCAGTATGACCGTGCCCTTGTTACAACTATGGTTGAGCGTTGCAGGCCAGAGACTCATTGTTTCCACTTACCTTTTGGTGAGGTCACGATTACATTACATGATGTGCAGGTCTTGTTTGGTTTGCGCATCGATGGTGATGTTGTGTACATGCAGGATGTTGCACGGAGGATTCGTCCATGGCTTACTTTATTAGAAACACTCACAGGATGTGCCATAGCACCTGCTGATATGGATGGTGCGAGTCGGGTGAGGATACATAGCATTACCGGCTACTTGCGAGATCAGTTACAAGTAGATCCGATAAGAGATGCTACTCTAGTGGAACGAGTTGAGAAAATTTCTAGACTTTGCATGCTTGTTATATTGGGGGGCATCTTATTTTCGAACACGTCGGGGAACCTTATTAGCTTACAATACTTAGTGTTCCTAGATCCCATCCACGACGTAGGTAAGTACAGTTGGGGCAGTGCAGTATTGGCCTACTTGTACCGTGCACTTTGTCGGGCATCTATCGGTAATGTGGTTGACATTTGCGGATTTATTCCTCTCATTCAGGTAACTTTATTAAAGTTTTAAAATACATTCAAATACAAAGAATCTTTTAACATTACACGGTACAAGAATATTTTTTCTATATTCAATTTTTTAAAATATTTAAATTACATACAAATAATTTCTAAAAATTATTAAAAATAGATATATGTAATTGTTAATTTTTTTTGTTAATGATGATAGTTTAATTATTTTGTTTGTCACATTAAGGTTTGGTGTTGGGAGAGGATCTTGCCT